GCAGGAGCTTCTTAGCTGTGACTTTATTCACTTACTGAATAAATCTCAGAGGAGACTGCTGTGCTTGTTCTGCTTTCATGCTTTGCACCAAAAAAATCCTCCTGGTTTCATCAGCCCTGGGAGCAGCTTCATCAAACAGGATTGGGCGGACCTACCAAAGAGAGGCAACTCCTTAATGCATCTTTCTCTCCTCTTTCCCTGCAGCTGAACTGCAATGAGTTTAAAGGAATCCTGGCAGAATGTGAGGCCGGGCAATACAGTAATGGGACCCCCCCTTCCAAGTGGCTGGGAAGCAGCCCCATCCTCCGGCAGTGGATTGCATCGGAGTGCCGGCCTGTCCGCTACGGGCAGTGCTGGGTGTTTGCTGCAGTCATGTGTTCAGGTACTTCAAAGACCTTTGTGTTGAACAAAGCCTTATTTGGTCTGCAGGACCTCTAGCACATGCCTAAATTCCTGGATTAACACAGGTCCCAGTAGCATAACCTGTGGTCTTTTGGTGAGAGGCAGATCCCCAGAATTTCCTCATCAACACTGAGTGTTACCAGCTTTGAGATAAAAGGGTATCAGCACATCCATTCACTGAAGGCACCAATGAGATCTTATTTCCTGAAGGGGCACTAATTCTTGCAAAGTCCAGACAGTGGGTCTGTGCCATTCCTAACAGCCCAGGCACCAAAAAAAGACTCTACACCTATCAGCAGAGGCACCCTTAGGGCAGGATGCACAGCTGAATCACGGCTCTCTCTTCTGCACAGTTCTGAGGTGCCTGGGAATTCCTACCAGGGTGGTCACCGGCTTTACCTGGGCTCACAACACCAAGAGCAGCCTGAGTGTGGATGAGTATTACGATGAAGATGGGACACTGCTCACGCAGGACAAGCGTGCTCGTGTCTGGTAAGAGAACGTGGCGGGGCCCAAGCAAGAATTTGAGGCAATACCTGGGTGTAAAAGTGATATAGGGGGGAGAACAAAGAGGTGAAAGAGCTGCAGGGAGGTGGATAGGAGACAGCTCAGGGCCCACAGAGGAAGAATGATAGCCCAGCCCAACCAGAGAAACTCCACTTGTCTCAAAAAACATGCTCTCTGCTCTCCTCAACGTGCACTGAGCTCTTTCAAAGGAGCACTGACCGGCTGTGTTTTGGCTAAAAATTTGCTGTACCTCAGGGCTCAGTGTCTTGGTGATGATAAGCTCGTGATGTTGGCTCTTGCAGGACCTTCCACGTTTGGAACGAATGCTGGATGGCTCGGGCTGATTTGCCACCGGAGTACAGCGGCTGGCAGGCACTGGATGCCACCTGCCAGGAAAAAAGCAAAGGTGAGGCAGCAGAGATGGGTTTGAGAAAGGAGGGGAGAGGAGCAGGGAGCAAATAAATTAATTCAGTCTTCCTCCCTTCCTCAACTCCCAGTGGAAAGATGCAACAGGACAGGGACTCACCCTGTTGACTTTAGGCCCCAAAATCATTATTTATCTGCTTGGTTTGTGCTGCTTATGTAGCTTCAAGAGCTCTATCACAGCACTGCTGATGTATAATCAGTATATGTCTAAACTAGGGATGGCTTTAGCTGGTAAAGCATCTGAATCTTAACTAGGCCACATTTTCTCTTCAGGTCCATCCTTCTGTGGGCCAGCCCCTGTCCATGCCATCAAGGAAGGGGACACAGAAGTCGATTATGATGTCTGCTACTTCTTTGCTGCCATCAATGCCAAGTGCCAGGTCTGGATACAAAAGGCAGATGACACCCTTAAGCCAGCTTTTGGTGGCACGAAATACGTCGGTAACAACATCAGCACCAAGAGTGTGGGCAGTGAGCGCTGTGAGGACATCACACACAACTACAAGTATCCTGAAGGTATGGGGTGGGCCAGTGGCTGAGCACCTTCCTTGGCAGTGTCACAAGTGAGGAGGAAAAGACTGGAGAGCAGAGCCAAAGCAGAGCACCAGGGTCATCCACTTCTCACTACTTCCCCCTCTTCAGTGGCACTAGAACACCTAAACTCTGTCTGCAGAACAAAAGCAGAGGTCATAGCCTAAATTTCATCTGCTTAATTGCATTAACCAGGTCTGTAGATGGCTGGGTGATTCTTTACCAGGCACTTTCGTGTCTGGAAAAACTCTTTTGATTTCTCTTACCTCAGTAGTTAAAGAGGCCACTGCCCCCTTTACTCTGACAGATTTTAGCACCAAGGTGCTTTAAAAACTATGACAACTCTTCCCAAGTAGAATCTGTCAGGTAGATCCAGTGAATATCCTGTCAGCTGAAACTGCTCCAACCAGAAGTTCAAAAGGATATCTCTCAATGCTCTTAGAAATAGTTCTCTACAGTACTGCCAGGATAAATCGATGCCATTCTCCTGCACTTGCTGCTTCACACTAGCAAACTGGAAAGGATACTAAAATATGTGTTCCTTTTTGTGACAGGCTCTCTCAAGGAAAAAGAAGTACTTGACAAAGCCTACAGAAATATAAAGAAACTTGAGATAGCCACCAGCAGCAGCTCAACACAGTTTAGCTCCATTCCTATTGCCCTTGAAGAGCCAGTTAACCTTTCCATCCACCTCCAGTCGAGCAGTTCTCTGCAGCTGGGACAAGATATTCCGCTTTCCATTGAAATGTTTAACCACAGTGGTGGAGAAAAGGCTACTCACCTGGTGGTTGGGGTCCAGTCTCTGCATTATAATGGTGTGCCCATTAGCCAGCTTTGGAAGGAAGACTTTCATTTTAACCTCCAAAGCAATGAAGGTAAGGACTCTGCTGAGTGCATGGCTAGAAAAGTGTATCTAGTTTTCACCTCAGCAAAAAAAATGCTCTTAGCCATAAGTTTACAAAAGGTTGTCTGAATAGCTGATTGTGATTGCCCAGAGAGGTTGTGGAGTCTCCCTCACTGGAGGTATTCAAGGACCATCTCCTGTACCATGTGCTCTGGGATGACCTTGCTTGGGCAGGGAGGTTTGGCCACATGATTGATTCACTTCCAACCTTACCCATTCTGGGATTCTGTGAAATACAGCACTTTGGCAACATCACCTTAAGAGATTTTCAATCACTTGAGCATTTAAATGCTGCAGCTTTCAGTGCAAGGTTGGGCACTAAACACTCTGAGGTGTCACACAGGCAAAGAGCAGACTGTACTCATCATCTGTTATTTTACCACTCCATTCCAGTCCACAGCCTGAGGATCTTTGTGCCCAACTCGTGGTGTGGAAAAGAGCTGGGGGAGAACCACCTGCTCAGGCTGACTGCTGTGCTGAGAGATGAGGATTCCTGCTACATATACCTGGCACAGGAAGAGATCAGCGTTTCTGATCCCCTTCTCACTATTGAGGTTAGGCTGGGCTGTCATTCTGTCACTGCAGTAGGGAGAAAACTGCTTTCAGTCATAAGCAGCAAAACAATTCTGCTGGTTCAGTGCCTCTCCTCATGCTGTGTTCTGTCAAAGCACTGAGATATCAGTTTGGGAAAGGTGGGTCGGGCCACTGTTGTATACAGTGCTCCCAATTCTGCCTTTTCTCTGTGTGTGCATGAGGAAATCCTGATGACTCCTAACTCACTGACCAGTCTGGAAATCAGAGGCTGCAGAAGGAAACTAGAGCAGAAGAAACTAACCTGGATTTTGCCTCTTCTGCCAGCTGGCAGCTCAGGCTGAGACCTCCGGCTCCAAAAATTGTGCACCTCCCTTTAATCACAGAAGAATCTTTTTTCCTTCTCTCGGTTTCAGCTCATTTCCTTCTTTCAACAGCTCCCAAAAACCATGGTACAGTATCAGCCCAGCACAGCAAGGATCAGCCTCCTGAACCCTCTCCCTGAGCCCCTGGAGCAGTGTGTGGTAGCAGTTGCAGGGCGAGGGCTGATTTACAGACAGAGGAAGTACAGGTAAGTGCAAACTGATGGATCTGAGAACAGCAGATGGAAAAAGAGACACAATACAAGCTAGAGAAACCCTTGCACAGGAAAGGCTGTCCCCAAAAATAACCAGGCAACAACATGGCAGGAAGACACTGCTTCAGCACGAAAGCCCCAGGCATCCCATCCTTTATTTACAGATAACACAGAGGATTTTCACACTCTAAAGGAGAAGCCAACAGAACTTCCAACAGATGTGTAATGCACAAGTTGAAGCCAATATGGCATCTGTGAAAGCTTTCTTCTATTTCTTTCTTTCCTTTCTTTTCTTTTGGCACCACACTCCTGTCTAGCAAATGCATCTCCTAGGCCCAGGGAACTAGAAATACAAAGAGGAGTGATTCCTGTGTAATCCCCTCTTATCTTTCAGGTTGGGATCCGTGCAAGCTAAAAGCACTCAAGAGCTGCAAATTCCATTCACCCCCACCCAAGCAGGGCCCAGGAGACTCACTGCACAACTTACCTGCCCTCAACTCCAGAACCTGAAGAGCTACAGAACTACTGACATTGCAGCTGCCTGAGCCCAGCTGAGAACAGGTCCTGCTGACAAAAGAGTGGTCGTGATCTGTGCCCTGATCTTGGGCAAGCACAGATGTTAACAGTTGAATAAAAGTTAAGTTCAAAACCGAGTCTGATTTTGATTATTTGCGTAAATTCAGCTCTCTCCCATCTGCCACTATGTCCACTCTCCAGCTGCAGAAGTTGAACCTTACTGTGACAAAGATGGGCTGAAGGCTCAAGCAGACACTTCTCACCACACACATGTGCTGAACCCACCACTGCTTAGGGCATCTCCCCTCCCTGTGAAAACAAAAGGATATCCTGGAACTGTAAAGCGATCATACATGCAGCAGTTCTCTAGAGAAATACCCTTCTCCCCCTGCAGATCCTTGATACTTATAAAGTAGTAAACAGTATTTTTGGCTGCTTTCTGAGGAAATAAATAATAGAAAGCTGTTCAGTGCTCTGTAAGGTTAAACAGGAAATAGCAACAGTGCAGCATATTTCGTAATGGTTCATTGGGCTGCTTGCAAAACAAGCAAGCCCCTTTCCTTCTGTACATATCCTCTGTCACCTGAAGACAGATAAAGCAACTAATGCAAATCTAGCAGTATTTTATTGTTCTTTGAACCCCACAGTAGCTGCAAGGTCTCAGGAGTGGGGCAGGTTGAGATGCAGCACTGCATCATCCCACGAATCCAAGTAAAATGACAACTTCTGCAACGGCGAAGAGCAACTTCCTGGAAAAGTTTTTCCAAGTGGCAGTAAGGTTCTCTCCTAGAAACATTGTTCTCATCATCCTCCCAGCAGCTGAAGAACAGCAAGATTCACGGGAAAAGCACGTGCCAGAGCCAGTGGCAGCAACACACGTGGGCACAGGAGAGCTAAAGTTGACCCTGAGTGAAGTTCTTGATTTTGTTCATGTTGTGATCTACTGCACCATTTAGAAACTGCACCCAGCCTTCCTCTGACGGTGGACACACGTGGCTTGTCCTGCAAAAGTGGAGGAAATTCATTTGGAAACCCTCCTGGGTGTCTTACACCTCCACATCCAGGCAACACAGGGGTACTGTGAGGTGCTGAATAACCACAGCATAAAACAGGGCTGCTACAGCCCCAGAGGGCTTTGAGCAAGGAAGAACCCACATCCATGTATGTAGTCCTCCCAAACCTTGACACAAATGTGTGTGCCCTCGGTGGGAACCGCTTTCATCCCCACCACCCTTCCCTTAGTCCCATCCCTTTGTGACTAGACAACATCAAAACAAAATGCCAGCATTTACTGTCCAGAAATGAGTCATATGTGACATGAGGCAGAAAGGTCTGGACTTCCAGGGCAGGGAACACACACTTGTACAACTGTGGCTCATACTCACTTTGCAATCTCTAAGACCTTCTTTAATACCGAGGCCAACTTAGCAGCCTAGAAGGAAGCAAAAGGGAAATGAAGTGAGCCAAATGTGAGGAAAACCAGGGTCTCAGCAGTACTGGAAAGAGAAATGCAGGAATGCTCAACAGCCAAAAATGAGTAAAACTGCCACCAGTCCTGATGCAGAATGGAGTTATCTATCACTGCCATGCTGGAAGTGTCTCCCAACCTACTGCTGGCTGGGACAGGTAAAAATAAAGTCATGTATGGTTTTTAAAGCATGCATTAAAATGCTTTCTTTAAAAAAAGACAAGTCTATTAGAAATTGGTAACTGATAGTAAGATATGAAGTTACAAGTGACTGACTTTAATGCAATTTGATACTAAGTAATACTTTCTTTTTTATTCCCAAAAAAATCAAGCCACAGGCCAAAGGCATGAAACCAGTTTTGTCACTGGACATCTCTATGGATTATAGTTCAGAGCTAAAGCTCCAAGTGGTCATGCCCTTCCCAGAGGAGGTAAAGATGAGGAATGCATTTCCACCTGAAGGAAGATAAGCATGCAAGAACCAAAGGGCACTCTTCAGCCCTAAGAAATCTTTACTGAGGCAGTCACTAACACTCACCTCTCCCTGAGAGTCACATAACCCCTCCAATTTGATTTCTCCCCATTCTCTACAGCCCAGTCCCACACAGAGGCTCCAGATACTCACATTAAGTCGCACAGCCAGCGGGTTCACAGGTGGGTACATGCTCAGTGCCAGCTCATCAACACTAGGATAGAAAAGAGGGGAGCAATGGAACAAAGGTCCTGCCAGCACAACTCATGGATCCTGATCAAAGCCCACACCCAACCCTGAATGCAAGTCAGGAACAGCAGTGCATGACAAGGAGACATCAGTCCTACCCGTGGGATGTGCCCCTCTCACCACAGTGAGAGATGTGGCCACAGCTCCACCCCAAATACAATGTCTGTTCCCCTCCTGACCTGCACAACAGCTTATGCCATAATAGTCTCCCCACCACCTGCTCACAGCTCCAGTATCATAGAGGTTGTCCTAATCCATTCTCTAGACCTCAAGAAAGACCAAGGCTACTCCAGAGCAAAAAGCAGCACAGGGAGAGACCTGCTTACCTTGGACTGATCTCATTAGCAATGTCTGCAAGGTCATCCAGCTGAGCAATCTGCTCTGGAGAATCAGCTTTGCCATAGGCCTTCACTGCACCCAGGACCTTCTTCAGGCAAGCTTTGGAAGCCTTCATTAACCCCATGCAGGAGCTGAGCAGCTGCCGGTCAGCTTCTGACCAGTACGTGTCCCTGTTGCCCCGAAAGCCCAGCTCTTCATCTTCCATGATGTCACCATAGGGATCCTGCCCTTCCACCAGTGCCTGAGAACACAGATGCACTGAAAACCCAGAGCCTGATATCAATTGCAGTGGAGGAAAGGGAGAACATCATCCAGGCATCGTGCAAATAATTAACGGGGGAAAGCTCAGCTGGTTAATCCTAGAACTGGATTAACTAATCCCCCACCCTAATTCAACAGTGCAAACAGCACGAACCTGGTAAATACTGCCATTCCTACATCATCCTAAACTTCCTCCCACAATCCCCCATGTCCCCCAGTTCAGGACATGGCTTTATGGAAACCTTATATCAAGTAAACTCGGTTTGAGATTAAAAACTCATTAAAATCCACGCAAAGAACAATAAGCTAGCTCATATCAGAACAAATTTAAAACGATCCCTGCATTCCATCACTGAACCACCACAGAGGGGGGTGGGGCACTGGCACAGGGCAGTGGTCACAGCCCCAAGCTTTCCAGAGCTCAAGGCACGTGGTGGGATTGTTGGGGTTGCCCCATGCAGAGACAGGAGCTGGACCCCTCCAACTCAGGATATTCTGTGAGTCTATAATCCACCACTGCAGGCTCCTCTGAGGCTTAGGGGCTTCCTTACATGTTCCATCTCCTCCACAGCATCCTTGACCACACCTAGACACGCCGTCAGAGCTGATGCAACTGCTGCCTGGTTATCTGCAAAAGGAAAAGGATGAAAACCGTGGCACCCCACTGTTTCAAATCAGTTTGCAACAACCTTCATCTAGGTTTGCCATCATTAGATCTGGAGACTGCAGGATCATGCTTTTTGCAGAGCTCAGAGCTGCACTTGTCATGCAAAGAATCTGGCCCGGCTTCCAAGCTCATACATTTCAAAACCAGATGGGTTTTGGAGACTGAGTGAGCCTTCCTTGTACCACCCAGAATACCTCTGCAAAGGCTATTGATATTCCAAGGAAATGCATCCCAGTTCTGCTGTTCTGCATTTACAACACTCACCTCGTGGCAGGTTGGACACTTGCTCACACGCCTCCCACACGCCTCCAGTCGATATGAGCTGTTCCTGAGACAAGCTGAAACAAAACAAAAGCCCCCAAAGTTAGGCTCAAGAACACCACTGTGCTTTTATCAACCTCACTTTTTATTAACGCCACATTTTATAAACACCACTGTGTTTTTATTTTCTGACCCGAAGATGGTGCAGCTTGAAATCATCCTTATGGGCTTGTCTGATGATCTCACTCTCAAATGAATCTCACCACCCTCACCAGCACTGCCCTGCTCACTCAGATCCTGGGGAACTGAGCCTTTGCTGAAGAGGCCTCTGTCCCTCCCTGATCCCAACAGTGCTCTGCTTCTGTCTCCCCCCTTCCCTTAGGAAGCAGTCTGCACTTGCTGCTTCTTAACATGTATACTAGTAACTCTTTCTTCCTTTTTTTCTTCTGGAAAATTATCATAAAATCACGTGATTAAAAATTACCTCTCTGCTGGAGCATTGAGAATTGTGTCTGTGAGCTGGATCATCCCTTCCACTACTTCAGTGGTAGCATCTCGTACCATCTTCCGAAGAGTAGTGCCTGGTGGAGATTGAGAAAAAGCGAGAAAGGTGCCACAGTCAGCACTGACAGAAAGCAACTGCTGAGAGGAACACACAGACTGCTCTGTTTGTGTGGATACAGCGTATAAATGAAGCGACAGGTATTTGGAAGGAAGCAAGATGCTTCCCAGTTCCTAAAGGACTCTGGACGATAATTTCAACACTTCATAAATACCAACACTCAATCAACTATACAACTTCCTACATCATCATTCTTCTGCAGGAGTAGACAGACAAGTAGTTCACTCATAAACATGTTCAAAGTCTACAGAGCAGCTGATAACGGGATAACCTGCTAATGAAAATTTGCTTTCCTGCGGATGCCACATCTCATACTGGGCTCTGAAATACTGGGTTTCTTTTTACAGTGGTGGCTGCCTTGCTGTCACTATCTCACCTTGGCCCTTGGGGAGCCAGTAGTACACTGTGGCAACTGCAAGAATGGCATTTTGGACATCTTCACTCAGCTTCCGGCAATCCTGAAAATGGACATGCAAAAGGATCACCTTTGGGTCACCGTGAGCAGCACACAGCTGCAGCATCTTTAGAAAGTCTCACAAGCAATCGCTGGCTTTCAGACTTCTTTGAGAAAAGGGAAACGTAATAATGGCTGTCCTGTTTGAGAAACAAATCCAGCACAAGAAGAAAATACAAATAAACAAGCTGTATACATCATAACAGGGTAACATAACAAAACACGCCCTGGTGGGGTGGTCATACACCAGAGAGGAGATTTTTTATTCCTGTCCTCCAAACACAGGTGTGATAAACTTCTCTCAATTAACTGCAAAAATACTTCATATTCTTTGTTGGATCTAAGGTCTGTATTCTCCAACATTCTGTTTCTGTCAGCAACTAGCTGCAGCTGCTAAAGAATGAAAGAACACTTCTATTAAGAATGTCTCCTTAGCTTATGGAAATTAGTTCTCTGGGCAGCTCTTGGGTTGTGTTAATGCACTCTACAATAGTGACAATCCCTTGTTTGCACTGAACCAAATCGTTTCAATCAAGTGAACCAAGAGACACCTGAACCTTCACCCACAGGGCAATTTCACAGTCTGTGGAGGCTTTCACTCACCTCTGCAGAAGGCAGCGGAGGCCTTGAGAACGCCAGACTCAGCTTTGTAGCTTCCTGTGATGTTACTTGGAATGTCTGACCTAGAAAAAATTCAATGAGAGCAAAAGGAGAGAAAGTAACTTGGGTAAAAGAAAAAAGAACAGAGCAGCTCGATGAGTGACATCTCTGATGCTACTCCTTGATTACCATTACTTGATTATCATTACTTCCTTCCAAGCCACACAAACACATACAGTAAATCCCCCACCAAGTAGAATTCCATGGTGCCATGCATGTAGCTTGTGTCCTACGCCTGCTTTTTTAAACTTTTTTTCTTTTTACATGGCTGGTAGTGATTTCCACAACCCCAGTTTGCATCTTGGTCCATGACCCTTTCACCAGGATGTGCTGGGAGGCTTCAACAGAGACCAAAGGCTCTATAAACCTTGTACCATGGGCTGCTGCTTTGTGTTAGGATGGCCAGGCAATGGAATAGGTTGCCCAGGGAGGTGGTGGAGTCACCATCGCCGGAGGCGTTTGAGAACCACGGGATCTGGCGCTGATGTGGTTTTAGGGGTTTCAGAGGCAGCGCTGGGTTGACGGTTGGACTCGATGATCTTAAAGTTGTCTATTCCAACCCTGATGGTCCTACGAACCCACGAGCGGAGGGTACGCGCCAAGCGCCGGCTGGAGACCCGCTGGGGATGGGAGCCCTGCCCGGCACCCCCCAAAGCCCACCCCAAAGCCCACCCCAAAGCCCAGTCCGTCTGCTCCCCGCCCGTACCTAGCGCGTCCCAGAAGCGCGGCAGCTCGAACGGCTCTCGGCCCTCGCCCGGTTCTCCCTCTGCAACGGCACAGACACAGCTCAGCCCGCGGGGAGCCCGGCCCGGCCCGGCCCGCACCCCATCCGGCCCCGGCCCGCACCTCGCACCCGCGCCAGCACCGCCCGCAGCGCTCCCCGCACGTCCCGCAGCGCCTCCCGCGCCTCCATCGCCCCGGCAGCGCCGCCCGAGCGCCCCGCGCGTCACGTCCGCTCCCGGAGAGCTCCTGCACCGCCCCTCCACCAGCCGAGATCCCGGAGAGCTTCTGCACCGCCCTTCCACCAGCCGAGATCCCGGAGAGCTGCTGCACCGCCCCTCCGGCAACCCCGATCCCAGAGAGCCGCTGCACCGCCCCTCCACCAGCCCTGATCCCAGCCAGGGGCTGCACCGCCCCTCCACCAGCCCCGCCCCGGCCCCAAAACACACAAGGACCGCTCCAGGTTGCATCGAAGCAGTTTATTAGTGATGGAGGAAGCGCGGAGGCAGCGGGGTGTGGCGGGGTGTGCGTGGCTGTGATAGGACCAGGGTCTCACGCCCCTCTATATCAGCCGGCGGAGGTCCTCGAAGTTGAGCATGTTGTTGGCTACATCGGACCAGGCCGCGTGGGTCGCGCCGTCCATCTCGGAGGCCAGGCTGTTGGTGCTGTCCAGAGTGTGGTTTGTGCCCCCAATGACTTCGTGGCACTCAGGGCACTTACTCGTCTCCATTGCCCCTCCACACTCCCCAATCACATAGACATGTCCATTTTTGCACTTGAACCAGTGGCCACGGGGACAGGCAATCGCTTGGACAATCTGCACGCGCTCAGCATCAGAAATCCCCAGGCCTGCCACGGGCAAGTCAGCCTTGATTTTCTCCATGTGAGCCTTCACTGCAGCCTCATCCTCCTCCGTGAATTTCTTTGCCCCTTCCAGGATCTCACGTGCTCTGGCAATCTTTGCCGCCAGCACTGGGGAGATCATCCTACTTGAAAGGTTGCAACTTGCCAAGAGGTTCAGCAAATAACTCAATCTCTGGATCTCAGACTGCAGGTCAGAGAGCTCCTGTTCTGTAAAAGTGATGCGTTGCTTATCCAGCCACGCCTGGACTTCACCCAGGCGCCTTCTCATCCCTGGCCTCTCATTCTCAGCGATTTTGCTCACAGAAGCTGTTAGCTCTGCTATACGTTCGTAGAAGTTCAACTGGTTCTCAATTAGTCCAATCCTCTTTGTGGACAGATCAGAAGCTTCCAGCATACCTTTCAGCATGAGGTACTTCTCCTGTAGATTGTTCTTCAGAACATCATTCCTTGCCAGTGCAGCCTTCAGTCTTTGTCTGCTAGACTCAATTTCCTGTGCTGAGCCTTGAATTTTCTGTTTCACCTGTTCTATCTCATCCACCTGCCTTTTCACGCTGGTGCCGTACCTCAGATTCTTCCTGATGGGTTTTTGACACAAAGGGCATACCTTCAGCTTGACTGCGTCATCATCTTTATCCATATAATGGTCAAAGCCTTGGGACTCAAAGATATGGCCACAGTCTTCAAGCTGTACAAATCGAGCATCTGGGTCGTCCTCAAAGCCGAAAAAGATCTGAGTGAGTTCCTCGTGGTTACAAACAAGGCACTTGTTTGGGCAGGGCTCTCCACACAATCCAGCACAGGGATGGCCACAGGGCAGTCGCTTAGCACATGGCACGTTGCAGCGAGGCCTATTGCACGGCTCAGAGCAAAGACGGGTACACTGGTAGTGCTGGCACTGCCACTCACATGGCTCAGCACAGGGAACACAGCTTTCTCCACATTTCTTGTTACACTTACTGTGAACACAGTAGTTCTCGCATTTCATCTCACAGGGAGGGCATTCTGCAGTGCAGGGCTCCTGACACTTGTGGGAGCAGATCAAGAAGCGCTTGCATGGCTTGTTACACGCCTTATGAAATCTCCCTTCAAAGCAAGTATAACAGGAGCCTGAACATGCATGACCACATGCCAGTGTGACAGAACACTTAAAAGAACATTTCACAGCCATCTCAGGTTGCCTCTCTTGCCTCCTAGCGATCCAGCATTCAACTGCCTGCTTGTGGCCACATTTCAGAGTGGCTGTGACCCTCTCAGGACACTGGTTCGTGCATTGCTCCCCACAGGAATTGCTGCATTTGTGCCCACAGTTCAGTGTTTTCTGGCACTTTTCTAGGCACGTAAATTCACTCTCTGGAGTAGAGCACGGCACCATCTGCTTGTGGCCACACTTAGAAATTGTTTTCTCGACCTTCACGAGGCATCGTCCACAGGGCACGTAACACAGCTGTGGACAGCGGTGCCCATCTGCACAGAGCACCTTCTGACAAGGCTTCAGACAGCGGAACTCTTTGTGCTCCATGTCATAGGGGTGACATGCCCTTGTGCAAACATGTCCACAACTCAATCTAAACTCACAGGGACGGCTACAGCCCCCTTCCGGGACTTTGCTGAAGTCCGCAGCTGTGGATACAGGCGTCTTGGTTTCGGGGTGGTTTTGACAACAAAGCATCAGTGAGCGGCCAATGTGATCTTTCTCCCGAAGGGTGTGAATGATCTTGCTCCAGAGGGGAACCTTGCCAAGCATTCTCATGTTTCCAATACAGTACAGCCCTTTCTTAGCTCTGGATAATGCTACACATACCCGATTAGGAATCTGCAAGAACCCAATTCTCTCCTCTTTGTTGCTCCGCACCAGTGACAGCAGAATAATATCGTTCTCCTCCCCCTGGTACTTATCTACTACATGAACCTTCACCCCTGTAAAGATCTTTGCTGGCATGAGCTTACGCAGACAGAAAAGCTGTCCAGTGTAAGTGGTGAGAATGGTGATCTGAGAAGGTTGATAATCCTGGTACAAGAAATATTTGCACAATTCCACTACAAACTGGGCCTCATGTGGGTTCTGGTGGCTTTTCCCTTCCTGGATCTCTTGCTCAGGGAAGTCATGTTCCACAAAGAAGAGGTTAGATGAGACGCCCTGAAACAAGAGAAAGGATGTCAAAGAGAATTCTAGCTTCTCCCCACCCAGGCTGTTTCCATGTCCTGATTATCCACTGACAGGAGGACTCTTAAGGAGAAGACTACAATATGTCTGGTTGGATTTTGGAGCAGTGTTTATTTCCAGGGTCCACCATCACTAATCCCAGAAGAACTACAAATTCCTTACCTGATTCTGTATCACTCATTTCCTTGATTTGGACCTAAATTTCAGTAAGTGAATTTGAGCTAAGAATTTGAAATCCCTGAGCACCATATTTTACAGAAACTCATTTAGCCTGTAACAGGGGACAAAAGCAATTGCTTGGACTTCTGAAAACTCACTTTTATGTTCTCATAGTTGAGGACAGAGGGATGGTTCTCCAGCTCCTGGTATATATGAGGACTGATAAGTCGGGCAATTTCAGGACGCATGCGGTGCTGAAACACAAAGCAGCTTCATCAGTCTTGAGGAAGGAGCACCATATTTCCCTGGCAATATTCTGTTGTTCTACTCTATAGACTGTGGCTGAATACAACACAGGGATGACTTTTCAGAAAGAGGCGAGAAGGGAGCACTTCCCCATCCCTGCTCTCCCCTGCCCCATTGCTGATACCACCATCACCTTCAGGAGCAGCAGTAGCAGAACACCTTCAAGGCAATCACTTGGCAAGGTTGTTGTACAAGAGTGCTGGTTTTCAGTGCAAATCTAAGAACACTTATTACAGATAACAAAACTCAGCATGTCACCCTAACCACTACTAGGTTACTACCTGTAGGTAGTTTTAATACAGGACTCCTGGTGGTAGAATTAACTTCTCTAAGCACCAACAGAGAGGATTATAGAAATTTAGCTATAAATATCAGGAAGCAGCCTGAAAAGAATTGTGCTGTCACTCTCCAAGGTTCTGGAAGTTTCAGATGCCAGAAGAAGCTATTTTCTTTGCACTAAAAGATATGGAAACTACAACGCTGTGGACAAGATGAATAATTGGAAATATACTGGAACACTGTTTGTGGCAGTTTGACAGCTCCTACTATTCTTCTCAGAAATTAAATAGTACATTCTTTTCTTTTAGGCTCCTCTTAGAATAGAAATATAAACTTAAGTGTATTAGAAACTTAATACAACCTAAATGCAAAAGCAATGGAGTTTTTTTACAGCTCTTCCTTACTTGGTATTTCAGACAGACAAAGGGGAAATCCACTTTGATCAGCCGTTCAAAGAGAGAGATTTCCAGACTGAAGTTCTTGGCCAGGTCATATACATTTGCACTAGGCTGCAACTGAAAGAGAAGGGATAGGAGGTCCACGTTCAAGCACTTTTTCTACGTGTTAGTAAAATTTTTTCACTCATTTTCTGTCATTGGTCCCCCACTGAAAGACCAGAGACCGGATTCTTGCAGAAGTGCTAAATATCAAAGTTAGATACAGTCACAATTGAAGCACATATATAATTGTATCAGTTATACTAAAAAGACCTATCCCACAGGAGCTCCAAAACTACAGGAGACAGGACCTGTGATATCTGTGGAAACCGTGGAGCAACGAGTCTTGGCAACCCTTCCCACACGATGCTTGGCTGAAAGGTTTTAGTTCCTTTGCACAGCAGTTAGAGGCATTAGTCAGGGAAGTTACCTGCTGGTGATCTCCAATGAGGATGAGGTGCTGGCAAGCTTTGCTCAGCGTAGTGATGGTGTGAGCCTCGAGCACCTCTGCCGCCTCTTCTACGATGACAATTCGCGGCTCTACTTTTTGCAAGATCTGACGGTATTTGGCAGCACCTGAGCAAAGACAAGCATTAGCAGAATATAATTATATGCAAGCAGTATGGCAAGAGTTTTCAGGGAGAGGCATAGGCTGTGTCCCAGAAGAGACTGGGTTCTTACCAAGATTCCCCATTTTCAAGACTTGGCTTTTTGAATTCTAAAACAGGGATGGCTTTGATAGGAAGTGAAGGCATGTGGGGATTAGTCCTGTGCCTGCCTTGACCCATTGTCAGTGCTTTCTTCAGACATAAGATACCCTCAATACATTGATCTACACACATAAATAAACCTTAAATTGTCTCTCCAAAGGGACATACTGCAATGACCTTAACGCTATCGTCACCAGAGGGTGCTGTGGGGAGAGCAGTGCAGATATTAGCTGTGCCTCACTCGGGCAGAAGTGGTGCATTTCTATCAGAAGAACGCTGCTTGAGATGTGGGGAGTGCAGGAGTGCACAGAAACTGCTCCTGCCACT